GCCAGGCTCCACAGCCCTTCCCGGGACCTTTGGCTGCACATGCCTGCGCCGCAGCCTTGCCTGCCAAAGCCGTGCATGTCACTCTTTAGGCGAGCCTTGCCTGCCAAAGCCGTTTCGCACGTCTTGCACACACGATAAAATGTACACTGCGGGCTTGCATGCTTTTCCGGGAACGCGTCTTCCTGTTTCCACGCGTTACACGCCATGCATTGCCACGGCTTTCCTGTATTGACGTGGCGCTGGATGCACTCCTTGCAAACCCTGGCGGCATCGGTGCGTTTCCAGCGCCCTGCTGTGAATGCTGACGCTGGCTTTCCTTCATGGCATTCCTTGCAAAACCTCTCCTCCCGGTACTTGGCTCTCAGAGCTGCCCAATCGAGCTTGTCTCCGCTCCAGCTTCGCAATAGCAATTCTCTGCCTCTCTTCGGCCCTTTTTGGAACGCCATCGCAGGAAACGGCCTGTAAACAAACAAGCCCAACCTGTTGCGAACCCGTGTCAAAGCAATGTACGCCGTCAGCGGGTCCCCGGCCTCGCCAATACGCATGTCCATGACAACTCCTTCTTTGTACGTCTGCCCTTGGGCCGCATGAGCTGTGGCTGCGAAGCCTGGAGCTAATGGGAATTGCTTTCGCGTAACGCGCAGCACTGGCCGTCGCCGGCCTTTGTCTAGATACCACGGTTTTTTTTTGCGGCGCTACCGGAAAGACGTTGTCTGCGGCCATGCCGTCGACGCGCCACGTCTCTTTTGTTTCGAATTGCACCAAAATGCAGCCAGGAAGCTCATTCCAAATGTGTGTTCTTTCTTGGTTGTTCTTAGTTTCCGAAGGCTGTTGCCAGACCCATCCAATAACTTTCCCTGGACACCCCCGCAAAATGCCACGATCCCTGTCGAGATGATCTGTTGCTACCACGGGCATTCCCACGCACAGTGGCAAGATGCCATACAAAGACCCACAATCTTGATCATGCCGTTGTAGCCACGTGAGCTTTTCTTTGCTTGCGTCGGGTTTCTCACGTAACGCGGCACTGGAGATCCTATCTTTTGCAATGGCGTAGTGGAGTTGCTTCCCAGCAGCGGCCGCCCATGCCTGCGCACGAAGCTTGTTCACGTGGTATTTGACCTTGTTTGTGGCAAAGATTGCTTTTGCTGTCGCAAACTGTGCAGGCGTCCCTGCCTGGTGGTCGATAACTCGTATCTTGGACTGCCGTTCCTCACGGCAGACGCCGCACTCAGACTGCCGGATAGCACTTGGTGTCGCCTTTTTGGCCCACAATTGCTGACAGCTTCCGTTGTCACACTCCAGCTCTCGTCCATTCCAGCTTCCGGGTACTGCTGTATCGAAGCCGTGCAAAAAAGCATGGTTCGTGTTTGACAAAGAACCGTTTCGAATTTCGTTTTGCACCGTTTGCAACCACACATCTTTCGTGCGTTCGCAGCCGCCTGCAGCTAGCAGCCAGCACCAACCGCCAACCGGCAGCCAGCCAGCAGCACCACGCAGCAGCAGCGCAGCACCAAGCCGCAGCAGCAGCAGCACCACCGGCAGCAAGCACCACCAGTGTGATATATCAAGGTTTCAGGCACACAGCTCATCCCACTACCAATTGCTAAAGCAACGAAGAAGTCAGCTAGCATGCTAGCTTTCGTGACAAGGACTGTGCATACACTAGCGCATCCGTAGTGTAGCACAAGCACCCGTAAAAGGAATCAAGAATACAGAGTCTTGAGGACATAGCCGGTGTATGGTTATAGCAATCCCTGTCCGGCTTCTGGTCTTCCAGCTCCTCCCCCAAGGCACCAGGGCGGAGCCCTTACTATATTGATTTCATTATTTCTTGTACTTGCTAATTGCAGCAAAAAACTGGCGGATGACTTGGTGAATGCCATTTCACAGCTCCCTCAAGCTCTACCGAAAACACAGGGAGCTGGAAACAAGCAGGTCACGGTCACTTGAGGTCCACTGTAAAGATGCTGGTTGCTTACTATTCTCTAGACTCTTCAAGGACAATTGGGGGGAGTCTCCAAGTCCGGTAAAGATGCGCCTCGCTCAGCTTCTCGGCCAAAGCTTCGTTGGCGCAGACCTTCAAGATCCCCTGTGCGAGATCTACACAGGGTCACGGGCGAAGGCAGCTCAAGCAGCTGAGGGTCCTGCTTCTGGCTTCACTATTGGCTAACGAAAAATGCCCGATCTTCACTCCCAACACAACAGGAATTTCAATCTCAAATCAGTGGAGGTGCGGGGCATCAGGCTATATAGCACTTCTGGGCGTCAACTTGTAGCCTGGGATCATCTGGGATCTGACTCTTTTCTGGGTACTTGAGAGTGTCAGCTTACCATTCTTACATGCACAGTATCACCATACCTGGTGAAATATGGTTCCTCAACCACCTCAAGAACATGCCAACCAACTGATGGGCGATTTCGCAAGCCTCCAACTCCTCCTTCAAGTCCAGAAAGTTGGAACTCTTCAAAGGTGGCAAATTTCGGAACAAGTCTTCCAGGACCTGTCAAGACACCAGAAAACGACATTGTCCAGCTGTTTCTGTTACACGGTTGCGGTGTTCGAGATCTTTTCAACGCGATGAATTTGTACAAACCCAAGCAGTACAGTTCTTTGATCGAATGCATTTGACTTGGGCAGTGCTCCTGCTGCCCCCTCTCAGTCTGGCTAGAACCAGCTGAGTCTTAATAGAGCACTTCCTTTCAATCTTTGTCCCACAACAAAATCCGTCCAGCTAAAAAACTCAACATGACTATAGATGGTTCAGGCATCTTCTGTCTTTGTCCGAAGACCGTCTGCTTCAGCAAGCCAGAAATATCAGGCTGAAAAGGGAATTTGACCAATTCAATTTATATAAGCATCCCGAAACAAAAACGTTGATCTTGGTCTGTCCATGGTACAGATCGGCCTTGTTCGGATTGTCCTCCTTTAGGAATCGAATCACCTCGAAACAGATATTGCGCTTGCAAGCGCAGTAGACTCATTAGACCAACGGCATGGTACACATGACACAGCATGACGCATTCAAACACTTGGTGGTGTTGTTGAGTTACTGACTCATGTCATGTCTGCCTAAAATCACTCAACTCGCATCAAGACACCAGAATCGTCTAAAGTCACCCATGTCCGCGAGAAGTCCCTCAAATCTTAAGCAAAATCCAATGGAGGCACCATTCCCTCGAGGGTCATAAGAGATGCTTGAATTCTAAGAATTCTTGTGGACACCGAAACCCACAACAACTTTGTCTGTCTTACCACTGTTTCAAACAGCTATCACCATGAGACACCGCTTAGCAAAATATCATGTATTCTTTGCAGTCGCATTGGATAGGGAACGCAGTGAAGCACTGCCAAACAGTGTTCTGCGCGAGCCCTGCGTTAGTCTGCCCGAGCTAGCATGAGTCCATAATGGTGCTCTCATACGTCTCATATTTATATAAATCATGCTCGCCAGGCTAACCAGCAGCAAATCCTCTGGAAGTATGATGCAATATGTGACGCGGTTGATGTGCTGATGTAGCTGGACTGCACCCGACACCATTCATGCACGACTTCACACAAGCACGAACAACCTAACCCTGGTGCCCAGTTCTTCAAACATTACACATGTCACATGTCACATGACCAAGGACAGTTTGACCTCAGTTTTCCATAGCCCGTGCAAGTCAAGCCACATCAACGTTCTGGGCCAGGGCCACCTGTGTCCAGCGACATAGGAGTTGGCAACAAAACCAGTCATCACAACAATCGAAGATTGCAAAATGGTGAATTGAAGTGGGTGAACAAATGATTGCTGCTTCCAAAGTTTTGAGGTAGATGGAGACAGCAGCAATATCATGCTGGAAGATCTGCTCATGCCTTGGCATGCCTTACCCCAAACTGGTGTTCACATCCGTTTGTTGGGCCAAGCATTATGCGGTTGGAGCCAGCCTCGCTGCGTTGGAGTGCTTCAGACCCTGCCGCAGAGCTAAGAGACAAAGGCACCTGGCCAAAGACATCCAATCCACTTTGGAACTCTGATTCTTTGCGTTATTGCCCGCGGAGGGCCGTGCAAGGCCGTGCAAGGCTGTGAAAGGCCGTGGTCGCCACGGGTCTTGGACAAACCAGAATGCTGACGGCCTTTCTCAATGCGCACTGAAGATGCCCATAGTAGCTACTTGATTCTACGGCCAGGAGCCCCTAGTCGCGTCCTTGCTCCTGGTCCTAGTAGCGATGCCCTTTGCTCCTAGTAGCTACTTGCTCCTAAAGTGCCCAAAGCAGGGTTGCCAAGCTTGCGGTCAGCAAAATGCTTTCGGGGAAACTGCCTCATACACCCCCGAAACTTTTTGGTCGGGCTTCCCATGGTACCTTCAAAGGAATGAGCCCTTTCAATCGAAAAAGTAGTAGGTTGCCCAGCGGGAAAAAAGAAAGAATGCCATCTTGATTTCTCCCTGGAGCTGGATTACCAATAGGCTCTGGATCCAAAAGTAGGATAAACGGCAACCCAATGAAGCCGGAAGCGCCGTGCACTTGGAAGCTGGGCAGATCGAGAGCGAACCCTCCTGAAGTAGCTCGGCTCATGTCTTGTGTTTGGCTCCGGTGTGTATTTCAGGAGAATATTACAGTAATGTGATGCGTTCGAACAACGTGCCATTCAACAATCGGATGCAGCCCAAGCTTCTGTGAAAAAGAAGCGATGTTGCAGGGTCAAGCGGTACAAGACCTCAGTTGTAAAACTCCTAGGCACTACCCAAGCAGGCCGAAGGACACGACGTAGCCCGGATGTCAAGTTCTTGCTTGTCAATGCCCCCCCTGGAAGTAGCGACCTTGTCCTAGAAAAATCCAACAACCTGACGTCCAAACTCCTGGCATCGCTACTAGAAGCAAGAAGCTACTAGGGGCTCCTGAACTGCTTCCTGAGAGCAACACATCCGTGACAGAGGCGTGCCTTTTGGACGAACCCAACACATGCTTCTGATAAATAGAAGGCTTATCCAAACCGTTGTGCTACATCAACCTCCAAGTAGAATAGATGTTGTTTTTGCACTAAGCACAAATTGTGACAAAGACATGACCCCAAGCCACTACTGTAATATGTCGAAGAATCTTCAGTCACAGGACCAGACCATGATCCAAATGGCCCGTGGTCAAAGTGGGGCTTCAGTGGTGTGGCAGACCAGGCTATCGCAGCAAAGCACCTCCTGTTGCTGTTTCAGTCCAAGCAACCTCAGTATTCTTCTCTGCTCTTTCCATTGCTTCCTTCACAAATTGCTCCGACCACCATCCAATCTTCCTGCAAGCCTTCAATTGGAAAAGGAGGCAAACTGATAACAGCTGTCGAAAGCACAAACCCATCAAGGAAGACAGCTCTGCACCAGCCTGGTCAAGCAAATCTCCAGATTGCACCCTGCCAGTTGCAGCTTTGTTGAAAGGGTTCGAGCTGTGCATTCGTGCTTAGGAGGCCAAGTAAAAAGGACGAGACCAACCCATGCGCTCGTGGTGTGTTTCCACGAAAGTCAAAAGTTCAAACCTGCTTCTTTCCCAACAAAAAATCAGCTGCCCGGCAAGCGGTAGGGCCTGATCTTGTTGACATTGTGCAGGACCAAGTTCTGAAACAGGATGAGCTGCGACGGTGGCACGTAGACACCTAGAACTCCCAAGCCGGAAAACTTTGGAAAGAAGATCTTGTTTTCTTGGCTTTCTGATGGGTAGTCTTGGCCTTGATTGAATCAACTGCCTTCGAAGAATTTTCTTTTCAAGACAAGAATCTTCGAGGTGTGCGGTCGTAGTGAGATACAAAGGTTTGCACCGTCACCGTGGTGTCTGGGTCATCGGTGCTCGTGGAGTCAGGACTGATTCGATCCAGAAGGAATCTCAGGATCTCGGGGCGCAGTCGGCTGCCAATCTTGTTCAAGCGCTTTGAGCTCACCTTGTTTGTCATATCTTCGAAAGCATCCAGCACCGTACCTCATTTGGTCACGACAGCTTTGGAAGGATCAAAAGGCCGGGCAGGGAGAAATCCTTGATTTGGCGGCCAGCCAAAGAGATACTGTCAGTTACCTCTTAAAAATATTGTCAAGGTGAGTCAAGGTACAAACATTGAATATGACATCACCGTCAAAGTTGTTCTTCTCGCAGCGTCGGAGGCCCACCTCCCGGCCACCATACTTCTTTGGAGCACGTAGAATCGGGAGGATCTCGGTGAAGCGAAAACAGCATCACCGCCATGCTCGGCACATGCCATGCGGATGCGACAAGTAACCTCACATCTTAACTGAGCAAGCCAAGCGGCGATGCCATTCACGAAAAGACGGAACAAAGGCTCTACAATCTTCAGCTCCACCTGCAACAGTGAATTTTGCCATTGAACTTTCAGGAAAAACATGGAATGAATTGAGCTTCACGCTCCGACGTGAAGCCTCACAAAAGCAAACACTGCACCCGCCCATCGAGATGCAACAAGCTACAAACGTCTTTGAACACTTTCACTAAGATCAGTCAAGGCAATTGCTTGTGTGCACAGAAGGCCGCTCCAGAATGAAAACTCGATATTCCAAAAAAGTGCTATGGTCAGCCCGGCCAAGTTGCAACAAAGCAGAACAATACAATCTAAATTGAGCACCAGCACTTTCATTTTCAGTACACTAAGCTTGTCCTAAAGAAACATCCTTGCCTCAGTGCCGGCTTCATCATCCTGCGGAAGCAGCTTGGCCAGTTCTAAGAACGTGATGATTGACTTGTCTCCAATGTACGGCCTCCACCCTAAGAGCGATGGCCTCCACCCTAGTAGCGATGGCCTCCAACTTAAGAGCGATGGCCTCCACCCTAGCAGCGATGGCCTCCAATATACTTAGGCTAATTACATTCGACCCCAATGCCGAAGGACTTCTCTATGTGCATGCTGTGGACATGCTTTCGTTTCGTGTAGAGATTTTTTGCTTTGATGGGTTTTATCTTTCTGACAGCTCAATCTCTGCAATGACTATGTCTTCTAAGTAGTCGGAGGTCGATGATTTCGCACAAGCATGGCAAGGTTCATCCGCTATACGGATTTATCACGACAAAACCGCAACGCTGTGTAGAGTCATCTAATGTGCATGGTTGCAGTGTTGCACTTGCTTGCGGATTTCGAAGGGAAGCAGGTTGGGTGCAGCGCGGGTCTTCTTTTTGTGAGTTCTTCTTTTGTGACTAGACTACCATCTGAGCACTCCGGCTGTATACAAGAACTGTAGACTACTTTTTGTCTGATAACAGAGTCAGGATCTTAGTTTGAATTGTGAAGAGACCTCAAAGTCTTAATGTATCTCTCCGGGTTTTGTTTTGACAGTGCCTAATTGTGGGAGTTGGAACCTTTCCCAGAAAGTCAGCTTAGCAAAGGAAAATAGATACAGTAAAAATCTCAGACAGTCCTCGACGCCAACCAGCTGGCATTCCTTGATGCTTTCCCGACAGAAAGCAAAGAAGGACCAAAAGCTTGGTGCCAAGGCCACTCTTCTGATAGCCGAGACCACCTTGGCAGAATCCCAGCTGGGTGTCTATTCCCCTGTTCTTTGCCCTTTTATCGCCAAACGCAGAGAATAGATAGGAACCCCATGTCAAATATAGTCTTATTTTTTAATCACTTACACTTACAGTACCTACCATTATCTCAACCTGCACAATAGATCTCTTGCTGCAGTCTCCCTCATCCGGCAAATCCTTGATGTCTTACCATTCTAAATTGACAGAACAATTGTGTCCAGCAGCCTCGACTTTGAAAAAATCGTAAAAGGCGTCCAGCTCCTGAACCGAGCAACAATGCAGCAGACTTGACATCGCCGGAGTTTCAGCTGAAAAAAACAAAAACGATGCTGGTTTTATGCTGAGCCGGGGCAAAGCCTCACTCAAATATGGCGGAGTGGTCAGACTACAGTGTTGACTCCATCGGCTCCTTTTGGAAGTCTGCGCGCAACTCCTGCGGCGCTTGCTCCTGTGGTCAAAAACATATTGAAGGCGGCAGGTGTACGAAGGGAAGCACTGGTGCAACATGTTCAGTGCTAGCTTGGGGTGGAATGTTGCAACACACGACCAAGTCTATCCAAGCTTCACTGCAAGCACATCAAACACAACAAAACGTGATGCGCATGCAGCATGTACACGAATGGCCCATTTCTGCTCCATCATGTCCACACTCAATTTAGCAGCAACCAACATTCATTGGCGTTTCACTGTGTGTTTTGAGGATTTCTGTGTCGGTCCAAAGATGGCATCTCTCCTTGAGCTTCGCAGCAATGCTGGGTGATTCCCTTGGGTGGCATCGCCAGAAATACCAGCATGATTTTGCTGTCAATTCTACTATTGTGACCCCGACTTCCGGGCAGGACAACTATCCGACAAAGTCCGATTGCGATGGCCTCCAGCCTACTAGCGATGGCCTCCAACCCAAGAATATCAACAATGCAAATGGCCGTTCGGCCAACTCGGAGCTCACCTTAAGGCCTCTAGAGCCAACCTCTGCAACTAGAGTTTTTGTAACATGTGTTGACACACAGCCTGTCTAGCCATTGCTCAACTTATCTGCCCGATTGATAGCAAAATGGGGAAGAGGTATGTGTTGTATCATGGCAAAGTCTCAATGTTCAGGCCAATGCAGAAAAAACCTGTTGCAAAAAGGCCTGGCCAGTTGCATCAACTGTGTACAGTAATATTTCACCATGTGAAGCCATTTCTCCCAAATGCAATTCAAAGGAACTTCCTGTTCGAAAAGGCCCAAACAGAATGTCCAGAGAGTTTTCCAGCCACACCCAGCCCTCCAAATCCCAAATGCCTTCATCCCATTCAATTTGCTGAAGAAAACACCAACAGTCAAATTGCAGACAAGTGGCAGGTACCGATTGAACTCCAATGCCCAGGTTTGCGCCTTTTCTAACCTGGGACACATACACTGACCCTCATCCTCTGCCTTTACCACCCATACTGCGATTTTGGTGGCGATTTACAATGACGAGCAAAGCCCAAGAGTTCAGCGAGTGTAGCAAGCATAGGGTCCCCACACCACGCATAGGTGTGCTGAACCACTTTCTTTCTGCACCACCAATGAGCCGCTTGCGGGAGCGAAAGAACCCTTGTGCTAGGACAATGAAAAACAAATAGGACAGAAGCTTAGAAGCGTCTTGTACGTCACCGCACCCATCAGCGTCAAGGGTTGACCCTGCTCATCCACTTTGTGGCAGTCCTTAATTGCAATTATCGTTGGGCAGAAGCTGGATGACATGTGTCTATGATCAATTCAATATCATGCAATATCCAAAAATGATTGGACACATCCAGTACAAGAGAATCACGACAAAACAGGTCATCACACAGGGAATTCTTCGCTCTTCTCCAAGGAGCCATAAACGGATGCACGACCTCCTCGAAGTGAACCCGATGCAGCGCAAAGAAAGAAAACAGGCGAAAGACGCGGCTGCTTGGTTGGAAGACGTCATCTACATTCTTTGCCTCAGGCTTGCCATCTATGGAATCTACCACAGCCTGACCATTGAAGACTGGGATAATTGAAGGTTGAAAGGCCGACAATCATATGTGCTAGTCCGAACATGACCAAACCAGCTCCATGCAGCCCTGTTCAGCTTGTACACATTTAAGGACTTCCACTGCTTGGAACAAGTTTCTGGATGCAAAGCTTTGATCCCAGCTCTAGGCAGCTCAAGTGTTGTTTTTTGACTCCCCAGACTCCACGCAAAATGCCAAAGATGCTTGCTCCAACTCTTTGGAAGTCATCAGCTGCAGCAGCAGGATGAACCTCATCCAAGTGACCATAAACCAGCAGGAATATGAGATTTGTGACCCAAACTTCGGATGGGCAATGTGGTGTTTGGTGCCTTGCCAGGTGGCCTTGCTTTTTAGGTACGCTGTGAAGGGCTTTAAAAACTTGAGCTCCATCAAAGCTAGATTCCACAACATGCATCTCAGTGCCTGCAAGGTACAAGTTTCTGATCCTGCTGTCACGAAGATCAGCAAAAATTGCACAGACCACATTGACAAAGACCTGGCGGCAGAGCGCAACAAACAACAAAACTTCACAGTGCACCATGACTTCTGTAAGGGTATGAATGCTTAACCCAGTTTCAAGGGAGATTCCCTCCGTCGCCTCCGCGTTGGCTTCGTCCTTGATGGTCATAGACAAAGTGGCCAAGTAGGAGACCTGCACTTGCAAGACCTGGAAGAGCTCCTGCAAGACCAATCTTCCTACTAGCCATGGCCTCCACCCTAGTAGCGATGGCCCCCCACCCGAATAGCAGTGGCCTCCACCCGAAGAGCAATGGCCTCCACCCTAGTAGCGATGGCCTCCACCCTACTAAAATGGCCTCCACCCTATATAATAGCAATGGCTTCCACTGTACCAGCGATGGCCTCCACCCTACTAGCGATGGCCTCCAACCTACTAGCAAACAGAACTAAACCAGCCAAGGCTTACAATGCTGAAAGTTCCTCACACCACGTCGAAGTGAAAAGTCCTCGTAAGTGGAGAGCTTGGACTGGATTTCGTTGTCTAAGCCTTGGAAGTGCTGCGATCCTAGAGGCCCCATTTAATCCGCTCACGGTGCTCCTAGTAGCGATGCCAGGGGTCCCTAGTAGTGTTCTTTGCTCCTAGTAGTAAGGCCAGGAGCCCCTAGTAGCGTTCTTGCGGAATTCACGAAGTGCTTTTGGATAAACTTCATGAGCACTTTAGTCACTGGACTGGACTACCAGGTCAAGACGGACTGGTCTCGTCGCAAAAGAAGGTGATTGTGTGGACATGCGCTTTGACTTATCGTCCATGTGTTGCTAGGTACAAGTTTGTTATGTATATAACTGTATATAGACTCTTCTCAGCAAAATGGCAAAATGGCTCTCTCGGTCAGGGATTTAAGAGAAGCATGCTCATTGTGTACTTGTGGGTAGGAAGTTCCTAGTTCATACCAAAGCAAGAAAGCAAAAATGTACCCATTGACCTGTCCTTTGCCAAGGAACGATCCTCCTCCGAATGCTTAAGCACTGGGCCATGCAGGATGGAGTTGAGATGTACGATTCCTTTTTCGACTCTGTCCTTCAATCAAAAACCAAGTCTGACCATCAAGATGTCATACAAACTGCCTGTCATAGCAAAAAGCCTCTCAAATTCCGGTGAAATCGTCCATGACTATGACCACATCAGAGGTGACCCACTCATATCTGGAGGTGCATGCGATAAGAAATTACAAAACCCACACACTAATCCACGTGTTTTGCGAAAGCATGAATAAAGCCTGAAAAAGACAAAAAACAAGAACTTCCCCAATGCTGAGATGCATGTTCCACACCTTTACACCACTCCTGAAGGATCTCCAACCTTCGTTCTTTCTCGGGCACCAATGCAAGGCTGTGCACGCTGCTCTCCACCATCTTCTTCAACTCCTTGCTAGTGACTTGTCTATAGGAAAGTCCGAGACACAAGCAGAGCAAATGGAGTGTGGTCTTTTCAGTCTTTTTGTTTAGGTTTGGTATCAAAAACTGTTTAAAGTTTGGAACATCTTAAGAGTGCCATCAATTAGGTCTACAGTCCAAAGCCTTTCTTTGATTCTGTTACCAGTGACACATTGCAAGGATTGTCGTGGGGCGGCCGTCTCCTTCTCATGCTTGTGCAGGCTGCCTCAGATGCAAGTGCCCCAGTCAAAAAGCCATGTTGATATCCTGGCCATTAGTAGCTTCCTGTTCCTAGTAGCCTTCTTGCTCCTAGTAGTAAGGCCAGGAGGCCCTAGTAGCTTCTTGCTCCTAGTAGTAAGGCCAGGAGCCCCTAGTA